AAGAGAAGAGAAGAGAAGAGAAGAGAAGAGAAGAGAAGAGAAGAGACAGAGAATAATAGTTAACTAGCATTTATTAAGCACTTACTGGGTACAAGGAACTATATCAAGCACTAGAGATACAAAGAAAGGAAAAAACAAACAAAACAAATTAAAGCTACCATCCCTGTTCCCAAGAAGCCTACATTCATGGGGGAGACAGGGGTGGACAGGGACCTAGGGGAAAAATTGTCTGTTACTGTAGATTTAAAATTTTATTCAAACACTGATTCAGAATAGAACGAATATTTGACTTTGGTATAGAACTCAGCATATTTGTTTATATCTTGTTACATTCTGAGGATCCCAAAATGCTGCTAAAATTTAGAGCTAGAAGGGACCCAAGAGGCCATCTGGTCCTCCTTAACACAGGGTGAAAGTGGACCTCAAAGAGAGGAAGTAACCTGCCCAAGATTAATAAGCAGGCTGACAGTCTGGTTCAGAGGCATTGAGGTGGCACAGTGTATCCTGTGTGTCTAGAACATGACCTGGAGTAAAGAAGACCTGAGTTCAAATCTTGCCTTAGACACTTACTGCTGAAGGATCTTAATCTCTGTCTGCCTCAGTTTCCTGATCTGTAACATAATAACAGCACCTACCTGTCAGTGTTGTTTTGGGGAATAAATTGAGACAGTATTTGTACGGTCCTTTGCAAACTTTAAAGTGCTACATAAAACGCTAGCTAGTTCAAGTATCTGGGCTAGAATAACAGGGAGAATCTGACCTTGCCCTTCCCCCTCAACACAGAATCCATGAAGGTGGCTTTCTAAGGGAAAGCAGGAAAGCAGCAAAGTCAAAACTTTCATCCTTTGCTTGGAGAGGCCCTGAACTCCAACTGAACAAGCCAGTGTTTCTAGGCTTTTCTCACAGAGCACTTTATAAAGAGGGGCTTATGTAGGAAGCAACTTTCTCTCCTCTCCGGGGGACTCTTGGGATGTCTTCCACACAAAGGTTTCCACACACAGCAGAACTTTGACCACCAGGCCTCCAGAAGAGAGAATACAAAAGTGTTAACTTACGAGTGGACCTGAAGCATCCTCAGAAGTTGGTGACATAGGTGAGTTCCTCTTCCCTTCTTGGATGCAAGGCTTTACAAATATAATGTAGGGTTTGAACTCTGGGGTCCTCAACTGTTTCAATGCCTGGGAAAGGGAAATAGGGAAAAAGGGAGGGGCTATGATTACAAAGCAGTATTTTTTTAACTCTCCCACAGAGTACCACCTTGGCATCAGCCCGAAGACAAAGACTTCATTCAACTCAGAGGACAAGGCAATAGCTTCCTGGCAGTGCCATTTCTATGTCTCTTCAAACCTCTTTTCCCTCAGCAATAGGACTCTCAGAATCAGAGAGTTGAAAGGGAACAAAAAGTCTGCTTTTGTTGGGGGCTTTTAAGGAAGTTTCATTGGTTTTGGTCCTGTGTCTGTTTTTGTTTTTTAAGGGTAAATGACTTGCCTAGGGTCACACAGCTAAGTTACTGAGGCTGGATTTGAACTCACGTCCTCCTGACTCCGGAGGCAGTGCTCTCTCTACTGCACCACCCAGCTTCCCCCTACGTCTGTTTTTAATGTACTAGAGTATGTTCTCTGAAAACCCTAATGGATGTTTAAATCACCAGATGACAAAATACTAGTCATTGTGGGATCATAGATTTAGAGCTTTAAGGGGCCTTGGAGGCCATATGAGTCCAAGTTCCTCATTTTACTGATGCACAGAAAGGTTAAGTGTGTGACCCTGGGCGGGTCACTTAACCTAGTTCTGTGTCTTAGTCTCCTCATATGTAAAACTGGGAAAATAACAATACCTACTCCACAGGATAAGATAAGATTATACATGTAAAATGTTTTGTAAATCTTAAAACACTTTATAAATGCTAGTTACTATTAATTCTGGCCTTTTAAGCATGAATTAGCCCTCTTCCTATGCCTCTTCACGGCCCTGTAACCAAGAAATGCCTTGATGTTTATTTTTATTTGTGTGTGTCCTGCCAGGATGCCTTATTGTGACATTGAGTTGACCATGTGTTCTTAAAGGCAATGACAGTAAAGCACAAGATTTGGGAGGATGGTCCTGGAGACAATTGTAACTGGACCAGCCCAACTAAGTAGAGAGACATTCAGCATCTGTAGGTTAGCCACTTGGTGATGAACTCTTTGACCATGGCAACTCATGGAACAAAAGAAAATACAAAATGACCCTCAGTCCTATACCACCTATGCCCCCATACCCCAGTTAACAGCGGCAGAGTGATGGAAAGGGGGACAGAGAGTTCTAAAAAGAACACAGTTGTCAGACCAGCTTTAAACATTCACTTAACTGCTAATATTTATGGGAGAATGTGAACATGTAGGATGGGGCAGGCACAGATGGGAAGAAACACCCACATCAGGGAGATTACAGATTCTCTAGAATACTGAAATGTACATAAATATAAAACTTAATAAGCTGTACACCACTAATGCAGGACTTGTCACAAGATCAAAAGTCCAACAAAATACTACATAACTGTTAGCTATTATTGCTATCATCATAGTGTTGTCATTATCATCATCACCATCACCATCATCATCACCATCATCATCCTCACCATCACCATCATCATCATCATCACCATCACTATCATCACCATCACCATCATTGTCATCATCATCACCATC